AGTTGTATGCAGTGATGTTGCGGCCATGCCGCCATGCTTACACTTGTTGAAAATTTGTCATTAACCGTTCGTCTGAGAGACAGATTGACAAAAACTATTATCGATAGCTCAGTAAGTACGTTGCCGTCAGGGGGCGCAAATGAGACAATACATAGAGTTTGACTAGCTCAAGGATTAGATGAATTCATTGGTTGTAGAAATTTACCATTTTGCAATAATCCTAAAAATGAATTTGAGCGCAGTCCCACAGACGGTACGTTGGCAGTTAAGGGTTAAAGCTAAAAACCATTGCAAAATCTTTTTTGAAAATCTATCCACAGGTGATATAGAGCTTTGAAATTCTAACTATGCATTTTACAAAAAACACAAAAATTGTATTTATTTTACTCAAAATTTCAACGAAATAATCAAGTAAATGCTGCCTGCCAACATTCATACAATAATACAGGTTTTCTGCAAACAGTTGTTTTACGTACTGGCGGTTTTACTACGTAATAAACATTGATGATTCGTCCTCGCTTGCAAAGTAGTTTTTTATTTTTCTCAACAGAAAATCTAAAGAACTCAATTCCATAAAATTCTAAACTACATATTTCGGAATATTTAACTCAAATTATATTCAAAAATGCCAACAGGGAATGTAATTTCTAACCAACCACATCTTCGCCCTTAATTATGACTTCCATATGAAAGATATATTTTATCTTTTACGGCTTGTGCTACCTGGGTTATTGTAACAGTCCGTTTAATAGATTTTCAGATAAATTACGAGTATTCATTATGTTGTAGAGTGATTTTACATAATGATATAAAACTCAATTTGAGGAAATTGGTTACATTTGCAATCACGTACTAAAAGGTGAAGTACCAATCTGACTTCTGAGAAACATCGACATTATAGAAAACGTTTTTCTCAACGTCAATAAAACCAGTGCCATTGTGTTTGGTGAAAAAGGTGTGCCCCAGCGGAAATCGTAGATATACCTGAGACCGGATATTCATTGATTGTACAAAAACCGTGATTCACAATTACTGGCAGTACTAACACAGGAAGTGAATGAATACACCTGTAAATAGACCTATTTGAACTTTTGAATCTAAAAATTATTTTAATGGCAAAAACAACCTGAAATTAGGTTGTTTCAAAAGTTGTGTCCGTTTTTATAATATCTCAGTGCATACTTATTCAATGGGGAATGTTTCTCCTGACGAAAATCAAGTAGTTTTCATAAAAGAGCTCTAAAACAACGCATTTTAAACTTATTATTTCAACCTTTTTACTTAAAAAAAATATTTAAATTCTTAAAAAAGAGGAATGAAATAATGCATTCAATATTTAAAGGGATTCGTTTCTATTTCACCATTTGGCAACATCGTTTATAGCTAATAAAGGACAATGAATCTGTTACCTGTATGAGACAAAGAAAGACATATTTCAGAGGCGTTTACTGTTTACTTATATTACGAGTTTCGAGACATTCTGTGACATATGACATTTTGTGCACCTAACCTATCTTCCTCTATATAGATAAATAACAAAACAACTGGTGCTTATGTGGCTTGTGGAGGTGGTATTGAACTATAATTTATATTTTGCCTGAATTGCTGATTTATAAAGATAATTTTCCTTTTTTAAAGTAGAATATCTAGTTACGTATAAATTATTTCAACTTGATATAGGCGCTATTGCCAATATGTGAATTAGAAACAAATCCCTTTTAAAATTAAAACCCAACATTTGTAACATCAATTTGAATACTTTTCGAAGTGAATTTGAAAAATTCATGAATTAAACTCAACTTTATTTTGTTCAAACTTGCATTTGCTGTAATAACCCAAATTGACGAACATTCCCCATTTAATCGAAATAAGCGCCATTTGAATCAGTGCACTTTCATCGACGTAACACAAGTCGATTAATTCCGCACAGCATAAGCATTAGGTGCTTGGGATTCGACGAAGTCGCGAAGTTCGTTTTTGCCTGGTCTTGATAAGGTGTTACTGGCGAGAAAGTTATTGGAGTGCTCGAAAAGATGATAGTCGGTTGTCGAAAGATCTGGGGAGTATGGGGAGTTTGAATGATACTTTGTGAAACGTGCGGACGGGCGTTGTCATGGAGCAGGATCGGATCTCTTCTGTTGACCAGTGCCGGCTACTGCTGACGTTATTTTCAATACATTTAATTGATTTCCTCATAATAGTACTCCGCTGTCCTGAGAGTTGGGCGCGTCCTCAGGTGGCGGATAGGGGAACGGCCAGGGGAGTGGGAGCCCTGTCCGGGAAGTCAATGTGTCCTTGCAGACGGGGTCGCCGGACACCTGGGCAGTAGCAGAAATAAGTAGGGTGAGGGGAACCAAACCTCCCCAAAAGCCATTGTCAAACATGCCACCGTGGACCAGCCTACCCAAGGTAAGGTGTATGGAATCGTGCCGACAGCTGAATGGCCGCAGGGTGATATGTGGTTACGAACGACCCCCTTGGGGCACCAGGCGAAACCTCATTGTAATCAGCCTTCCTCTGATAATGCGGGTCTCTGTCAGAGTGACCAACTCTTCCCCTGCTACTCGTGGGAACACATATGAATGAAATAAATACAAAAACAGACACAGAAAAAACAAAAACCAATCCCGAGGCTGGACAGAAATGCTCACCTCTATCTATGGCGGTGGCTGGGGATGAACAGAAATGTCCACCCCAATCTACCGCTCGGAATGAGGCTGGACATGGCAGATCACCTTGTGATATAATACAAAGGACAAGGTTTAAGCACATTTGCGGCGCCAAAACCAAAAGGAGCAAAAGAGCGAAAGAAGCAGGAGTGGCAGCAACTATAAGTGCACCCTCCTCCTCCCCCACTCCACCTCCATCAGCAAAGGCACTTCCTGCGGCGGACGCCAAGAGCTCCGCCTCGAATAAAGGCAAGGAAACGGCTGCCCTGCAGGAAGGCGCCCTCACTTGAGCACCTCCACGGAGGGAATCTCAAGAAGGTTGAAGAAGCCGCGCAACAACAGTAATGTCGCTGCATCTTCCAAAACCTTCACGAAGGCCCCCGTGAGACACTTCAAGGTTGCCAAAGAGTGTGTGTGTTCGGCGAGTGTTGGCTTTCACCTGCCGATATAAAGGAGCTGTCTCCTAGTGACCTGTCCACCTTCCTGGTAAGGACAGGATGGACGATGACCTAGGAGGACAACTCCTCGGGAGAATGCGCAATGGGTCTCATATGGCCTAAGTGTTGTGGGTCTACACTCACCCTCCCTACTCTTCAGATACAGCGATAGTATTCCGCTGTGATGGTTTGGCCTGGTTGCCAGAAAGTTATAGTCACCTAACTAAAAAGTTGAAAATATTTTTTAAATAAGCTTCAAACAATAACGAACGAAAAATATTACTATTATTGTGAAAAAAGCAGCGGGCACTTGATATACAAAGCGTCCACGCTTTTTTCACAATAATCGCAGTATTTTTCGTTCGAATAGATCAAGCAATAATGTCGATAATTCTGTCAAATACAGATCCCGAGCTTGAGAATTACAAACATACATACATACAGATGAAGCTAATATAAAGAGTTTGAAATAAAACAAGGCCTATTTTATCAGTTCGGACTTCCATTGTCTAATATAATATAAATTGATTTGAAATCCCTGAAAAAAAAAATAAAAAAAGTAACCGAAAATAACAATTTCGTTAAAACAAAAAAACTGAAATTACCAAGAAATAACATACAAGCAACAACCAAAAACAATAAAAAAAATTGAAATATTAATATTTCAATTTTTTTTGGTTGTTGCTTGTATGTTATTCCTTTGTCCTGTTCTGATGCCTGCCTTTGCCAGTTCATCAACTTTCTCGTTGCCTATTAAGCCTGCATAAGCTTTGATCCACATTAATTTGATATCAAAATTAGCTTCATGGAGTCTGCTGATAAGAATTTTCAATTCCAGAATATGCGGGCTGAGCTGATAAGTAAGTATGTTGATAGGTTGTGATATTTTTGACAGTACAGACAGTGAGTCAGATATAATTATTGTTTTTTCAATACACTGCCTGCGTGGTCTGTCTCGCTGAGGGATACCCCTCGTCGTATGTCTGCCTGAATTATTTATTCCACAGAAGTGGAAATCTCCCGCCACAATGTTCTGAGATGCAAAAGCGTGTGCTCTGATTAAATGGCGAGTTGCGTGACAGTTTGAGGACGCTACGTGACAATTTGGTACACTCTGATTGGTTCACCGCTGGGTGACAGGACACCACGTGACAATTTGGTTGACTGGATGGTCTGTCTACCTTGCGAGCTGAGAAGCAACCTTGCTGGTGTGATGACGTCACCGTCTGCCGTCTGTCTCGCTCAATCCTCGCCCCCACTACTACCTCCAAGCGTGAGTGGTTATTTCAACTCATTCAATTGATCGCTATGTGGAACGGTGATTCGAGCCCGACGGCCGGACTGCGTCGCGTCCAGCCCGTACTAAGAATCTCACGTCAGAAGGTAAGACCTAGTTAACCCTTACCTCGCACAAATTTTGACTTTTGAAAGTTGTCGTTCGTAAGATAGTGACATCTGGTTAACGGAAAAACAGATTTTAGTAGCCCTATAGCTATAAGCGAGTTTATGATCATACTTCAGCAGATTCATTAGCACAAACGCTAATGTAATTTTCCAGTACCTTGTACTACTATTATTCCTGTCAGATTTTTTGAAATGTTATCCAACCCGTTAGTGTATTTTGGTTTATATGGTCATAATATCGATATTTAAAATACCAATCGTACTATTTCAGGATTTTTAGCATCGTTTTGCCAAATAGTAAGTGCGCACTGTATAGAAGGTGGTTATGTATTTCAACAGTACACATACATAAAACTATAAGAAATTAAATATTAAATTATTTTTCTGTGTTAATAATAAATAAAAAACCCTTAGCCTTTTTCGATCAAAAATCCCAATCATCGGTTAGAAATGTAAAAGTATTCAATTATCTGCAGAAGAAAAAAATTACCTTATGTACTTTTGGCGATGGGTACTTAGGGGGAGTCTTTTTTCTTTCTACGAAATTATCTGGCACGTCTATTGCCCTCTCTTGAGTATCATCGCCGAAAGTTACTCCAGATAGTCTGTCGTACCCTACCTGAATGGATGAAGCACATGTAAATGTATGAGAAAAACAAAAATCAAAGAAAAAATAATGATAAAAATAATTTTGCATCGATGTTGGTGATAAAAAATCTATCCGATTAATTTATAATGGTGAAAGCAACTACTTGGGGTAACTCAAAACCACTCAAAACCATCGTGTGAACTAAAAAGAACACTAGTGTATGTCGACAGCAAACGCCAGGCATGTATACTTTGCAATTTATCACTTGGTATGTACATAACAGAATGCTACGCGGATAAAATGCGAAATTTCACTTTATCAAAGTTACTTTTCGGATTCGGTGGCAGTGGTCTATAAATTTTAATGCCTTACATTTCGTTTACTACTGCGGTAGTGGTAGCTGTTTCTATTGGTTGAATTAAATGCCATGATATGAGAGCAACTAAGGAGCCCATTGAGTCCTCTAGTGTCAAGTATCTGTTCTCACGACAACCAGCCTTATCGCCTTATCGCCTTTGGTAATGTTCACCGCAGTAGTAGACGAAACGGCAGGAATGAAAATCTGCAGACCACGGCCAACAAACCGGAAAATAGTTTCGACAGTTATTTTCGGCAGAAAAATAACCTCTTTGAAATGTCACTTGTTGAAACTGAATAAAATATAATTCATTGGAAATTTACTGAGATCTTCAGACGCAAAAAACCGGTAATGATAAACTATTTTTTCGCTTTACTACAACATGAAACTTTTTTCCTTGGATATTTCTTGAAAGTAAGTGAAAAATCTGTTGCGTTCTTACCAGCGATTAGTAAATGCCAGACTAAATTCTTTCCGTTCTATCAGAATCATCTCTTCTCCTACAGACATGGATTCTGGATCTTATCTTACCGGAATCCATGTCAAAACCCCCATACATTTTGCCAGTTAGATACGAGGTTAGATTTGAGGCCGCCAAAAATATACGACATACCTTCAGATTTCTTGAGACTAGAGCTTGTAACCTAACTCAGATTACAGTCGATACAAACGTTAACAATGCATTAATAGTGGCCAAAGAAATAAGATATAAGTGAATGAAAAAATACTTAAAATGATAAAGTATTTGAATATGGCAACACTATACAACCGTTTGTAGTTGATTGAGACATGTTATAAGTTGATGGCTTACAAAATGTTCTGTCAATAATAGTACACGTCAATGTCTGAATGTCTATTTTACCAAGTAGTAAAAGTTCAAAGTATACATGCAAGGAATTTGATGTCTACAGGCGTTTATGTAAAAAAGGGGTTCCGGGTGCAACGAATATGACAGTCATAGTTATTTATCATCTTCAACCGTGGAGGAAAATAGATAATTATTTGCAGAGAGGCTGAGTCTACTTTGAAAGTCTCAAAAGATGAATGATCACTATAATAAACTATAAATAGTCATTTAGAAGTATTATTTCTATACATACTATCAAGTTACTGGCTCCCTCTCAACATCATCCCCTTTTTCATTCATATTTTCTCTTTTTAATGTACACATGTATAAAACAACTATAAAAATTAACAATTAGACTATATTTATATAAAGAAAGTGTTTTCACCTGCAAGGTAGGTTTGGGCGGTGGATATCTAGGCGGTGTTTTATTTCTGGCTATGAAGGTGTCTGGGACGTCAACGGCCATTTCCCTGTGAGGCCCATTGTCGCCGGGCAGCATCATCACCATGTTGTAGTCGATGCTGTCATCTAAATCGTCTGGATGTTTCTTTACAGAGTCCAGTTCCACGTCCAGAACAACGATACTGCTTCCAGACCTCCTCCTGGGCCTACAAAAATGTTAGTTTTATCAATTAGAGCATTTAACAACCTGTGGTTCGTCATCAAGTTTAGAACTGGTAAATGTGAATATTTTTGTTGGATTATTATGTTTTTAGTGAAAACTAACAACACAACTAACAACTATTACTAACATTATATTCCATAATCCAGGTTGGCAGATTCGAAGGATCATTGGACAACAAAGAATTCACCCTGGGTATATTCATAGATATCGAGGAAGCCTTTGATAAAACAACCTTTTCAACAATTACCCAGCAACTAAACTCCAGTAATATACCTTTGGTAGTAGGAGAAGGGATACTAGAGATGCTCTCTAATGGAGCAATAAGTATCAATGTAGAAGACATCACAGTGAGAGAACTGGTCATGAGGGGATATCCACAGGGAAGGGTCTTATCACCCCTTCTTTGAAACATAGTTCTGGATACCCTGATTAATCACCTCAACAATAATGGATTCTACACAATTGCATATGCAGATGACATAGTTATCTTGCAGACCGGCAAATTGGTGAACACAGTGTGCAATATAGCGCAGGATGGGCACAAATTGATAGAAACATGGTGTAAGGAACACTCACTGTCGATCAATCCCAAGAAGACTGAAATGGTCCTTTTCAGGACCAGGAAGAAGTTTATCGGGCTTAAAACCTCCCGAAATCTTCAAAAGCAAACTGAAATAACTTGGTACCACCCTCGACAGGAAGCTATCATGGAACTCTCACCTACATAGTAGAGCAAAAAGAGCATATGTGGCTTATGGGCAATGTCGAAGGACAGTGGGACGCACATGGGGTCTTTCACCCCGTGTGATCACCTGGATCTACACTGCAATAATAAGACCTATGTTAACGTACGGAGCCATTGCCTGGGAACCGAAAGTTCTACAAGCAACGGCCATCCAAAAATTATACAAATACTGCGATTGGTTTGTTAAAACATTACAGGAGCCATGAGAACAACACCAACCGCGGCAATGGAATTAATTAATGGTCTGACCCCTCGACCTGTACGATAAGGAGGTTGCGTGAATGGCCATGTTACGATTGCGCACAACTGGTGTAAACCTCGAAGTAGGAATTAGTCAATTGAGGCTGAGCCTATGGCAAGAAGCGCTTACTGCGCAACCTCTGCTGCAGGCAGCCAGTGATGCAATTGAACCCAGGTTTGAGTTTAATAAACCCTACAAAATACAAATAAAACAAAACACTGAGTCAGATGCTACAAACACAATACGCATATATACAGACGCCTCAAAAAGCAAAGAAGGCTCAGGATGTGGAGTTTACTCCAGATCACTGTTCCTAAGGATTAAGTGGGGAATTGGAAAAATACCAGCGTGGTTCGAACAGAACTGGCTGGCAAAAACATAACAATGTGTACTGATAGTAGACAAGCTCTATCAGCCTTGAACAGACAACGTGTTACCTCAGGGTTAGTACTAGAGTGCCACCAAGACTTAGCCAAAGCCTCGGTAGATGATAACATTATCCTGAGGTGGGTTCAAAGGCACGACAGGAGTAAAGGTAATCGCACTGCCGACTCTTCAGCCAAGGAAGCGGCTGGACTAAGAATTTTAGGATCCTACGGCCTGACGACTTCGACAATTGCAGAACTAGCCAAACGTCACACCCATGCTCAATCCCTAAAGAGATGGGAGGGAATCAAAGGATGCAGTTTTGCAAGGATCACCCTGGGTGACCCTAGGAAGCTGGCGCCGAAGTAATATCTGGCAATGACCAGGAAAAACCTACGCTTAACAGTAGAATTTCTGACTGGCCACTGTCAACTGTGCTGAGATGTATCATAGTGACCCATCCACCTTCCTGGGAAGAACAGATTGGACGATGACCTAGGAGAACAACTCTTTGGGAGGATGTAAAATGGGTCAGATGTGGCCTTAGTGCTGTGGGCCTGCACTCTCCCTCCCTACTCTACAGATACATAATCCAGGACTATCTGAAGAGAAAAAACACCAATTGGCAATAGATATGATGTTCGTACTTCTTACAAAACAACGAATACACTGAGATCTATATTTACACATGATGAATGGCGAACGAGGAGGGTTGGCATTAGAATGCCACAGAAATGAGTATGTAGTTTCCAAAAATATAGTTCGGTCTCTAACTAGAATAAATCAGTATTACCAGAGGAAACTGAAAAATAGAACAAAACGACTCTCTAAAAACCTTAAACTGGTTGCAGTGATTACCATAGCTTCCAAAAACTACCTACAACGATTTCATTTTCTAACAGCACACCCAAAAATTTCAATAAATGAGTATTTTTGACACTAACGTAAGAGAATGTCTTTCTGTGAACATTTGAGATGCTATAAAAAGTTATTGTTGACCAGATATTTTGAAATTAATGATAATAATTCACAAATTTTACAAAATATATTCAAAATGAACTCCATCTCGCTCCACACAAGTTCAATATTGTCCAACATAATCGTGGGGTGTGATGTGTATCTGATTCATGAAATGATTATCTTTGTACGCTCTTTGTATACAAAATCTTTTCAGAAAACCCAATTCGAAATCCACAAGCACTGTATCTAATTCAAAAAACTGATTAGATATATTACATGAAATTGATTATTCTAGAAATAAAGCTTAAAGCGCTTCGGTTTTTTCCAAACAATTTAAGATAGAAAGAGTATGATTCGAGTTATACTAAATAGTCGAATAAATAAATTGTGAGGAAAAAACATACTCCTTCGAAAAGTATCACATCAGAAATAGAGTATCAAATCCTTACAGATAATAAAAACTCTCCCTCAAAAGAATACACGTAATCATAACTTTCGGATAAATATTTCATCTTCGGAAGTTTCTGGATGATGGTATTTTCCTCCAACAGTGTAGTAGGTAATCTATTCATAATTTCCCGGTTATCCAACAATGCCAACTCGATTCTTTTCAAAATACATTATGTCCTTCAATCGTGTTACACTATCGAAAATGAGTTTCCAGAACGAAATCTGACACGTCAGTTTCATACCGAGTATTTCAATTACACGCCAGCAGTATCATTGAAAATATCGGTTTTCAATTAGCGAACCAAAATCACTAGTAGCACACCTGCCCTCAGTTCTTAGTCATCGTCCCATGTTATGTTCAGGTTTTGAAATAGGAGACGTTGGAAAATGACTCAGATTTATAGAATTTTATAGCCGTTCTTACCACCAAGAAGAAATGGTTTCAACAAATACAGTGGGTGTCATAAGTGTTGTCTCTTACAAACTCGTTTTAGGACTGCTTTCATGATAATGAATGCATGAGCTTGAGTAGCTTGTAGTCCGTTCCTCACTCCTCTTGACAAATTGAGGAGTTAATCGATAAACATAGTGGAAAAGTGGATACTCAAAATCAACGCCTTCATTTCTTCAGGTCACTTATTTTACTATTCCACTGTTGCTTTCCTCGCTCTTATACTTATTGGCGAACTAATTCAAATTGTTGTGCATCAATTGCAAAACATTCATTGGAAAATTGCGACCGTTGTCGTGGTACCGATTGACGTCACGATACGCAAATTTTATCGCTTCCTTCAGAAAGGTTGGTGGCGTATCTACCGGGTGATTCTCTACGGTGGCTCACCCCTATAACTTTTTCATTATTGTAGATTAAGGTTAAATGGCCTCCTCCTTGGTCACGGCAAAGTTCAACTTTTTCAATTGTTGCGCACATCACATTGATTAGCTGTTCCTCAGTGATGTTCTGAAATACCACCCTTACTTTGTGCTCTAGTTCTTCAAGAGTAGCTGATGTTGTATTTTGAAAATGATTTTTAATTGTTCCCCAGAGAAAAAATCTAGCGGAATAAGATCTGGTGATCTAGAATATGAAAAAGAAATAATACATTTATGTAAAAATATGACAACTAAAGAATGTACCTCGCAGACCACTGAATAGGTCCATAAGTTCCAATCCACTTTTCTGGGAAGGTGTCATTCAGATGTTTTCTTACGACGTGAGAATTTTGAGGTGGCGCTCCATCTTGTTGAAAATATATAAACTTGGTTAGCCAGTGGCAAATCTTCAATGAAATCATTAATTCGATTTCTAAGGAACTGTAGATCTCTTTCCGCAGCCAGTTGACCGTCGAAAATTATTGCCCCCAAAAGTTTTTCTCTGATAATACCCATCCAGCAATTGAAAGTAAATCGCCCTTGAAAATGTCCATCTTGCATCAGATGTAAATTTGTTTGAGACCAGTACCTTTTATTATAATAATAATAATATGATTTCATTTCCTTGAGACATTACAGGCTGTATGGAAAAAGTCAAAGGAAGGGTTTCGTAAAGATGTTGGTGTAGTTGGTAGTTGAATGATCGATAATTATATTTGAGAAGAATTCTCCAAACGGACGAATAACTTATATCACACTCGGAAACAATTTGGCGAATTGACGCCGTACAATCCACTTCAAAATACACCAACACGTCTACTTCTGTTTCTTCACTGACGATGAAGTTATTGGAATTTTCTTCTGGTTCATTTCGTATTTTTCTTTCCAGTTTTGGAAAATAATGCCGAATGGGATGGCGACGATTAGGGAACCTCTGATCATAAATTCGAGCTGCATCAGTTGCATCCTTTTTTGTTTCTCCGTAAATTAGCAACATATGAATTTTCTCGTTTCTAGTATAATTTGACATATCTTATTATGATACACAACAAATAAAGTTTTAAAAGTGACAGCATATTCATTAGCCTATTTGTTTAGATAGTCCCAGAAACAGCTTCAATTGTTTTTCACGGATAACTAGAATAACAGGACCTAGTACATAAGTATACCGAATACGTATTATTTTTTATTAGATATTATCGTTTCTTGTAATTATTGAGAAAAATAGAGAAAATAAAGTGATAGTGTGTGGCATCAAATTATTCGTAAGAAAATGATTTTTCACAAAAAGCCGATGAGCCACACCCTCTTTCCATTTGAAAAAATCAAGTTAACTGGAAAAATTCAT